CAAGTAATAAGACAGAGTATAACCCTATATACCCTATAGCTAGATGTAACTCTATCCTAGCATATAATTTCATAATTTTCTACTTCAGTAAATTTTAGTTAAACAATGCTGCCAAACAGAAAGTATAGATATAGATGTATTATCCATATGTCATATCTTTTCCTATTACTGGTAGGAACATACCAGTACACTTGTTTGTAATCTCCACGTACTGTTTTTCCAGACAGAAAACAGTGGTCACCTTCGAAGTTGAAATAAAGCCTTAGAATAACAAAAAATCCATGAAAATAATGTTTCAAATGCTACTCAATGGCAATGCAAAACATATACATTTCACTATAATTTGGCCCAAAATAAATTTTTAACATAAAGTCATTAGCACCATTTTATTTCTGTGCTGTGCTTCGCACATGCTGGGAAACAGCAACTTATCTTCATACTGCTAGTAAACTTGCTTTTTAGAATCTTAATTAGTAGTACCTGCTAGTAATACACAAGTACACACTAAAAAAAAAATAAATTAATTAAAAAATGGGATGAAACCTGTATACACTTATTTGTTTGTGACATTGTCACGTTTATTCCATCACACAGAAAGAAGCATGACTTCATTTTTTTACATGTAAAGTCATTTATCAATATTGTTGATAAAGAACTTGGACTATAAATAAATAGCAACCTATGACAGACTGTAATAAGTAATTTAGCACTGCATAATACCTTGTTAAATGTAAGAGAATTGGATCACTTATAACCAATAAAAAGTCAGGAAAAGAAACTTTTTGATACCCAATCTACTGGCTACACTATCATTTCAAATAAAAAACACAGAAATCAAGCTGTAGCATTCATTTTCCAAGATGCTTTCCTGTCCATCCCACTAATAATAGCAAAGGAAATTGTAATAGTTTAAACCGTGAACTCAAACTAAGTTGCATTAACATGCTGAAATTTGATGTCATCACAGGTAATCCGTGAATAATTACTACTCAAGGCAAGCTACATTACATGAACCCTAACCTTGTTATGACTTTGTCTTTCTGCAGTTTCTAGGCCCATCTGTTTTTCTCTACACTTGATCAACCAAGCTTAGAAGACCTATACTTTTCTTGGTGGTACAGAAAATGTTCACGAATTATAGCCATGTCACTCCACTCCTCTTTTTTTTTTTTTTTTTTTTTTTTTGTCTATATAGCACAACAAATTGATTTGCTGTGGCATTAAACAGTGAATTGGTCTCTTCAGTGTCTAGTAATTAGTTCTAATGCTAGCAGACAAATTAAAAGGAAGCAAAACAAAATGTCTCCATCAGGCACTTATAATAACCTTCATAATACACACAAGATGTTGTGAAGACTAAGGTGGATAAATGAGGACAATGCTGATTTTGGCATCCAGCTTACTTTCAGATAATCTAGCTCATCCCTCTTGCCTGACACAAGACCAAGAATATTATTAAAGAGTAATAAACTCCTTCTAGCAAACCTCTGATTCCATGGTTCACTGGTCACAGACCTAATCTATCAATCCATTTACCGCACACTAAAAGGTAAGAAACCCATTACAGATCTGTTATATACCCTGGCAGGTGGTATATGACAAGAACTGAATTCATCACAAACTCCAGTGCCTAGTACCTCTTTGTATGCTTTGAAGCCCTAGGTGGTTAGCTGACTTCGCTATCACAGCAGAAGATACTTTGAGCTTTGAAAATAAATGAAAATTCTTGATGTAAAGACATAAAAATGGTTATAAAACACTTCATTTTTATTTTTTTTTCATATTACCAAGAATTCACAGATAGTGTTATTTTCATTTTTACAAGAAATACTGGCTTTGCAGAGGGCATAATATATAAAACCAGGCTAGAATTTAAAAGTCGTACTTCTGAATGCGGACTTTAATCTTCATTCTCTGCTTAAACTACGTTTGAGGTAGCAGCCTATTAGAATCACTATTCAATAAAGGTGTCTAAGGAAATGTCATTTAAAATTTATTACTATGTAACAGAAGAAAAATTCTTCATGTATCTATTCTCAAGGTCATCAGCACATGATATAAACACCTAAAAGCAAAGACAATACTGAATCAAAAGGGAAAACAAAACAAAACAAAAAAACTTATTTTATGTGACTGCAATTCCTTTCATCCTCAATTTCTTTTCTCAGCTTATTTCCACTGCTGTAGGGCAACACTTCCCGTGACTGTAAAAAAGGTTTGAACATGATTTATTTCAAATATGCTACCTTGAAGGTTAAGACTCACTGTGCTGTCACCCTTTCCACTGTTGAGCAGATCAAGGCATAACAAAAATTTGTCATACTCTTAGGAGATATTTGGCTACGTTTTCAACTGGTAATTTTCAATTATCACAGCTTCACTGAAGTAAACAGAATTACTCTAGCATACACCAGATAAAGAGCTACCTTACCATGTGCATTTTATGTTTTGAACAAAGTATCATCCTGCAAGATGAGGTAATCAGAATGCTGTTACACGTTCTCTTCTAGCATAGATGCTGGAAAGCAAAACAAACAGCTGAAAACAAAAGGCTTAAATGAAAAGATTTGCTCCAAAATGGGGATGGAGGGACAGAAAAGCCCCAGAGAAATGTTCGTGGTGATGAATTTGTCCATTGTGCTTTGAGAAACAGAAAAAAAAAAAAAAAATACCCCCTCAAATCAATTGACTGCATAGGCATCCTCCAGCGAACTACTGAAGATCTCTTGATACAAAAGTGTGGTTAGGAAAACAATGTACGTCTCTTTGTCAGGCCTGCAGCCTTCCTATGATACCCAAGTTTTCTACAGACCCCAGGGTTTCATACCTTAAAATAACAAAATTAATCCCTTCAGCTATATAAAATCTAATCTTATTGATTTTACATTTCCAATATCCACAAAATTCAGTTTTTCTGGTGAGAACAGTGAGAGCTATGGAAGAGAAAAAAAATACTGTTTTTTTTTTTTATCCTTTCAGTTTCCAATAGGACACAGAGAAGGAGAAGAAAGGAGAAAATGTTTGGTATTTTCATTCATTTTGGTAGATTAATGACAGAAAACCAAAAAGAACTTTTTCCACCTTGACCTTTCAAGATTGTCTGAAAAATGGAATGACTTCAGAGAAAACATTTGAAATCTCACATTACTTTTAAGGATTTAACTCTTGTAAATTTTCAAACTTGGCTTCTGTTCATTGAAAAATGAAATGCACTTTCCACATTCTTTAAATTCAGCAACTGCAGGAGGGTGAGAACTTTTCAATTTTATACATATCCATATGTAGATAACTAAAATTGAAATAGTGCACTTCAGTAATAATCACAAAGGAAAGTTTAATTTTCTGGGTTTAGCCTCTTTTAGCAATAAATGGACATAATCAACTCCAAGTCTAAAGTCTTGCCAGAAGCATTACTGAGGTCTCCTGTAACTTTTAAAGAAAAAGCTTCTCTAAACAGTAGCTCTATCCCCTATATTTCATCCAAAACATAATGGTATTTATAGTTATTTGGGTTGCTCTGTATATAAGTCACCCAGAACATTTCCATATTAGCAAGCATTAAGTAAAGTTTTTAGATAAATGACTAATCAGTAAAAGCTTTCATTCAGTGACAAATTTTTGTAGGTTTGTAGATTTTGTAGGTTGACTAATTACAATTTATGTAGGTTTATGCGATTTTACTGAATGACAACACAAACATTTTTTGCCTGAAAGTTAATGATTTCTCAGTACTACAGCAGAGATATTCAAATCACGGTGCCTAAATTCAGCTACGTATGTCCTTACATCAGCTAGAAAATAGCATTAATCCAATCTCAAAGTTTTCTGAATTCTTATATATATATTATAAATATATATATATATTGATTTTGGAAAGCCACTCTGTAGAGAAAGAGATACCTCTACCCAAACACCTAAATAATGATTTTTGTACCCAGCTCCAATTTCATGAATGCGATCAATATTTATTATCCATTTTTGCTTGAGTCACTACCTAACATTCTAAAACTTGCCAGACCATTTCTGTTAAGAAGAAGAAACTAATGAGAGTTCCACAACAAATAAATTCCTGTTTACTTACCCAGACAGAGCTTGAAATATCAATTCTGTGAACACAGTTGAATGTAGTGTTCTTGACCACAAACTCAAGCTTATCTTTTCAGTAAGGCACTCGGAAAAATGTTTTGTCTCCTTTTCTTCTCAAAGCTAAACACGGCTTAAACTTTATCTCCCCCTCCTTATCACCCTGGTGACTGTGCCATCAGTCTCACAAATCCTTCAGTTGCATCTTCTAAATTCTATCTGTTCTCACCAGATTGATAAATACCTTGGATCGCGGTCCTTTCAATATTGCTTTCTACCATCTCTGCTACACACTACTTCACCAATGTTGTACAACAAAATCCTATCTTACTTTTCTTTATGGGTATGGAGATTCCCTACACGTGGCAGGAGGTTGGAGATTCATAGTCCTTGAAGTCCCTTCCAACCCTGGCCAGTCTGTGATTCTGTAAGATCCCAAAAAGCAAAATGAATGGGATTTTGCTATTCAGGAACTCAGAGATCACAGTTAGAAACATAACAGAACGTGAATGAGTAGTTGCAGCTTCCACCTCGGGGTCTAGGAGACAATTGGGAAGTGTTTCCAGAAAAGCAATCAGCCATTCACACATCTCAGTCACAAAAAGGGGAATATTTGCTGAACCCTTAAAACAACCAAGCTACAAAAACGGTGCTCTGCACTCTCCTCCTAAGGAGCAGACCTGTAATTTAGGGAGTTAATTTGGATGCAACATCATCACTTCAGGCACTCATTGTCTCTTATTATTGTTTCTCACAGCAGTGTATTGCATACATTTTCTTTCAGCAGGTTCATTATGTGCACAAATGTCTCTGCAGGTTCACCCAAAGAAAAATAATGCCCACTAGAAAAAATAAAATGCAAATATTTGTTGCAGATTAAAATTTTATACTGCAGTTAAATCACTAATATGTCTAACCTTTAACAAGCGACGGCTAGCCTCCTTCAGTGTGCTCTCGAGCTTATGTTTTCTTTCTGGGTTCAGTGATGCACTTCCAAGTGCTGTTCCTCCAGTTTCATTTAATCGTTTCAGTATTCCCTTGTGTGGCAGCAGCTCTTCAACTCTTAACTGGAACAGACAAATACAGCAGTTAAGATGAACTGCGGTAGAATTTTCAGCTCTCTTATCTTCAACCTTATCGATTTATCTATCAGCTGAAGGAATAAACTCAATTCAAGACAAAATAGCCAAAGCTTTCTGCGTAAAGGCTAAACTCTCACCAAAAGTGACTGTATTAGTGAATTAGGTCTAAAGAGAGTCTTAAAAGACCAAATAAGGGGATTCTCAGAATATTAACCACCATTGCATAACAATTTCTCACTTCTTGACACTCAATAGCTCATGTATCCAGATTTTAATTATCTTTTAACGTGGTTCAAAAACAAAAACAAACAAATAAACCCACAAGACTTTGGAAAGGTGCTTCTCCCTATTATGTGTGGTGAACATAATCACTCAGATGGTATGTCCAATCATTGATGTTCTAGTCCAATCCTTCAATCATATATGCTCAAAAAGACATACAAAGCATAGCCAAAGGAAGCAAGGCATCATCAGAATGATGTAATCATCACTTCTCCATCAAGTATGCAGTTACTGTAGGTAAATATGTCAAGTAACTTAACATATAAAGATAATATAACTAAAACATACATTCATTCAGCACTTTATTATTATTATTAATAACACAATGTAGCAGGTATTAAATGATATACAATGCAAGCTGATGCACTACTTTTTGATGCATTAGGATATATTTTCCTGTATAACTCAAAAAAAAAAAAAAGTAAAAATGAGCTATAAATAAAAAATACTAGTACCTTTAATTTTGGACTATTTATCGTGTGGGAATGATACAGTTGGAAAATATTTCTGTATAACTCAAGAGCGTAAAATTCATAGATCTAGAATATCAATTCAAACTTCAAAATCATAATTGTGTCTGCAAATGATAAGATGTATTTAAAACCCCATAGAGAATTTTCTTTGTCTTACAAAATCTCTGACCAGTTCACAGACACTTTATTCTTAAGAGTCAGATGCATGAACTTAGCATATGATTAAGCCTTACTTTCCTTACTTACTACACACTACTGTTTGTACTATTTTTATTTATTTATAAACAAACTTGACCTTTACTATTTTTTTTTCAAATTTTGTTAAGCATAATAGAAAGTCAGACCATTTATTTTGAGATTCTCTAACACTTCATTCCATCACTTGTTGAGTTTGTTCAACTTGGAGGATAAGTACTCCTTATCTTCAAGAGATGACTGGAAGCCTTTTAGATATGTCCCCCATATATATTATGCAGATAAGGGGTAATTTACTGTTGAGCAAGTTCTTACACACACTCTATTGGAAGCATTTCAAAACTAAACAGAACAATTCCTATTGCATATATTCATGACTAGTATCATATACTAAAATCTCTAACATCTTAATTAAATTTATTAAAGACTAAAAATATATATTCAATATTCTGATTTTATATATTTTTAAAAATAAAATGTGTTTTAAAAGTCACTGTCAAATTTACTATAGAAAATGCTGAAGCACTGCTTTAAACAATTGATACTTACAATCATGCATGAATTTCTACATACATTTCTTGAGAAATACTGAACATAATTTCCTTATTGGGTGTTTGCAACATGTTAGCAAGACACCTATAGAAAAATTTTTTACAGATGAAATTGTCATGTTTGAATACCAGAAACTTGAACTAAGAAACAAGAATGAAAAAGATCATGATTCATTATTTACTGACAGGATAGGAATTTCCCTCTCACCACGTTTTCTGTTACTTCTTTGATTTCTGTATGCTTAGCATATACTACCTGGGGCTTTCAAACTGAATATAGCACTTAATTTTCTTCAATGCAGAAATGATAAATCAAAAAATAAGAAGGAGGCTCAAAATACCTTTACTTTGCCGAGGCAGTCTCTTAGCTGATCTTCATTCCCTGGTTCAAGGGGAATAGCAATGACGCTTTCTGTTTCCTCTAACCATAAAATCAGTTTGTTCAAGTCTTCTTGAAATTCTGATAAAATATTCTTTTCTTCCTCTATCCTGTAATAAAAACATGAAATTAATTATTCTGTGCACTCTGAGAGAACAAACATGATGGAAACCCAGTGCCAGAAACTAAGAACTCTAGCATCAAACTTTACTAAAAGAGATCTGTAGAAAGTGCTACTTAAATCTATTTCAATACATTGTGGAAACATATTTTGGTGACCACGCTACATACTTTGTGAAAAGCATAGCAGTACTAGTACCTGTGAAGAAATAGGAGCAGATGTATCTCACTTAACATTAGTTGTCTGTTTGCTCTATGTTGACAACTCAGCTGTAGATTCTCTAATACAAGCTCTCTTTATTGAATAACAGTTGTCAACTAAATGTCACAATAGATGTTGTAATAAATGAGTACAATGAGAAAAAACAAATTTAGCTGTATTTTTCTTTTATTAATTAAAGAGACTCCAGATGACTAAGACATAAACATTGCAGGTATCTGAAGTCAGATACAGTTCTTTCAGCACAACCGTATGAATATATGGAGATCTATGCTTTTGTGCCCAAGTTTCCCACAGCTATCAATATACATATGGAAATCATTTCAAAGCCATCAGGGAATAGCACTGGCAGAATCTGAGCCCCTTGGGACTAACATTATGCACTGATCTATTCTGAAGGAGAAAAATAAGGTTAAAATAAAACAATGTGTAATTTATCCTTCTAGCTAATTCACAAAGCTAAGGATACATCTGTACGGAAAAATTAAATAAAGGTTTTTTTATTCCCGTTTTTCTTTTGAAGTGAATTAGGATCAAAGCAAAAGGCACAAAAACAGATTGTTGTTATTATTTCCAAGATCCAACTGAGTTTGAGAGATTAGGCCATTTATTATGCATAATAAGATGTTGTATTAGTATTTTGAGAATATAAGTCTACATCACAGTGGAGAATCAAGATCAGTGTTAGTAACAGATTATTTCTGAATGGTTTTAAAAAAAAAAAATTAACACAGAGTGCAAATGATTTTACCTATGTCTGGTTTCGCATACTTGTCACTTCCCAGCCCTGACCACCAAGTCAGAACTGTCAGAACTCTTAGAACATTCTGAGATGTGAAATAGAATGAAACCTAACATAAACCATGCCATCTTTTATTTATAGGATTTACTTTTTTTTTTTTTTTTTTTTTTTTAATTACTACTTTTCCCGATTGCTGACTTGAGCAAAGAGTCCTTTAGAAATTATTCACAAATGAGTTCCAGGTAAAAGAATCACAAAAAGTATCAAGTTCCACATCACCTAATTAGAAAAATACAGAAAACAACTGTTTGGCAAACATGCATGTCTGTGTACATACAGAATGATAAACAGCTAAGAAAGTACAAACTAAAAGTTTTTATTCAATTAATCAGAATTAGCAGTTTCAAACAGTGTCTCTCAATGAAGTTTGTACATCCCAATCCCCAGAATGGTCTTTTTTTTTCTGTGTAATTTCCATAGAAGAAAATATTCAACTGATTTAAGTGTTCCGCATTAAATTAAAAATATATATATATATATATATATTTTTAAAAAAGTAAAACTGCAGAATGTGTAAAATTCCTTTTAAGTAATATCTTTGTTACAAAGTAAACTGGAAGAATTGTAGCATTGTGAATGGGGGAAATTATAATAGGAGATAGGGGCATAAACTCAACAGGTGAATTAAATTTCATTTCATAGCAAAAGCATTGTCTGACTTCACAGTAGAAACAAGAAATTCTCAGATGAATATTCTTGAGGGAAAAAAATCATGCTGTTGGAATTCTGACTATTCTAAAATAAAACAAGAGCATAATGTTCAATTATTATTTTACATAGCACCCAAATTAGCAAACATTAATGGAATTTACCTGCCTTCCATCTTATTGATGTTAATTGCATTTCCTTAACAAGACAACTTCGTAAGTTGTGACCTCCCTCTGAAATAGTATGTTAAAAAACATCATAAACTACCACGGACAACCGTGTGCTCCAGAATTCACTGTCAAGTTCCTGTACCCACCAGCCTGATTGCACTGCATGCCATATGTTAAGAAGTTATGGAGAATACGATTGCCACTCACAAGGTGATATAGTCTACAGGTATCTTTCCTGGATGGCAAAAGCCAGACAAAAAAGACATCACTACAAAGATGTTCACAAAAAGTGCTTCCACTCAATTTATGACAACACATTCAGAAAATATCTTCAACTTCGGCCCTAAATCCATTTTTCCTTTTGAGGTCAAAATAATTTAGAGTGTAGCAACTGCAACAATACACACAGTGAATATCTGAGATAAGAAAAATCTTTCTATAGAACAACATTGTGCATTGATGTTTCAAAATAATTAAGAACAAGTATCTCATACTTTCAAGGTTTTTCTTCTCAGTACAGTTTAAAGATGTTTTCTATTAACATCTAAAATACGAAGCACTACTTCTTTGTTTACCTTCAAGTTTAATGCTTTTTGATGAATTTATTTGAGCATGTAGTACTGATAATAATGAATGGGATATTAAAAACTCTCTATTTACAATTAAGTGCTAGATATTTTATTTCCCGAGTCAATTCAATGCATTTAGATAAGAAAAAAAGCACTAAGTTCTACTTGAAATATTGGTTGCAAGTTATAAATAATCTTAATAATGTCTTCAGGAAATGGAATTGCAATGATTATGGATGAAAGAAAATCATTTATACAGAAAACCAAGTGTAAAATGTATTACTAAGTATTATGAAGTCCAATAATAAATCATGCATACAATCATAATAAATATACACAGTTTGTATAAACGAAATTAATAAAAACCAAGACAAGTTTAAATGGAGGAATTTTTTTCATAACTTGGCTGGTTAGGGAAGGGATTCTCATTCCTGTACAGAGTACTTTATGAATGACAAAATCAAACTATGTCATAATTCTGAGGAAAGAACAGGAAAGCTTGCTAGATGGGCTTCCCCACAGAAATTGATGATAGTGTAAAGCCATAAGCAAAGCTGATGCAGTAAGAATGCAACGTAGATGAGACATTTTCAGCTTGTTCTTCCAATTTTTACCAACACTAGAGTACCACTGTAACAAACCAGGAGTGGATGACTACATTTTATGCCTCTGTTTGTACAGTTTTGTCACATACTTTCATTATCATTTTATAATTCTTTATGTATGCGGTTGTATGTTTACAAAATAAAAAATTATCTGATCTGTGTTTCACAGTTATATTGCACATGCCAATGGACAGGATAAGATAGAAGCCCACCTTGAGCAGGCCAAGGTACTGTGCTCATGCACCTCTACCAGTGGGACAAGAAAGGAGACAGGAAGAAGGAAGTGCCCAGGGTGAGCCTGGCCTTCCTCCCTTCCTGCCCCAGGGTAAGCCCTGGCTGCACCAAACAGAAGCATCAACAGTGCTTGTTTAAGAGACGTGTGTTGAGCATTGTGCACTGTCATTCTGACATACATTCACCTGTCCTGTTCACCTCTGATCTCTGTGAGGCATTCAGAGACAAATGAGTGTTCCACAGCCCCTGCAGCAAACCTGCCCGTCCTGTTTGACTTTGCAAGAGATGAGGGCGGATGAGGATAACTGGGAATGTTGCTCAAGATACATCTCACTCATAATATGAGAAAAGTATCTTAGAGTTTTCCATCTGAATGTCTTCTATTTTATAAATTCTTACTTCATGTACTCATACATGAACACAGGGGATTTTCAGAAATCAGACCAAAACAAAAAGAGTTTCATAAAGGTCTATTTTTTTTATCCTAGTCATGAACAGCATGTAGGATAGTAATCAAAAGATCCATTGCAATTAATAGAAGCTGCAGGTGCACTTCATAATTTACTTCACAATTTACTCTTTGCCTGTTACAACATTACTTCTATTATAAATAACATCCTGCATGACAAGTATCATATTATGCAAGCCACAAAAATAAAACACACTTTCTAGTAGCTGAACAAGTCAATAACACAAGAAGTTTTAACATGATGACTGTACCTTTCGAACAAGTTGATTTCTATCACCATAATAACATTTGGAGCATCTGATACATGTAATTTCAAGGTGTTTAAAATTCATGGTGAGAAAGACAAGTGAGTAGTAGGCTGTTATTAAGGAAGTACGGACTTGCAAATCTGAGCTTAAACAAACTTTAATAAGGAGTGTGAGCCTCCAGCCATCCATCACCATATACAGAGTAGTTGGGAGCACATACTGCTGGATAAGCAGGTGAGTAAGGAGTAAGATGCAATTCCCTGCAGCTGGTCCTAAGGAGCAAGGCAGATCCATCTCCAGCACATATCTGCACGCTCATATACATCACTACCTCTCCTTTTAAACCAAAGTTCCTGAAGACCTTTCAAACTGCCTCACATTTAGCAAATGGGTTAGTTTATTAATCCTGAAATGTAACTCACCTTGGCTGGAGGAAAATTCTCAAGATAGAGTAACTTCCAGTAGTCCAGGTGAATATTCTCAAGCAATATTCTCAAACTTTATGTTTGGATGTCGGGGGAAGTTCTTTACAGAGAGAGTGGTGAGGTGCTGGAACAGGCTGCTCAGAAAGGTTGTGAATGCTCTGTTCCTGGAGGTGTTCAAGGCCAGGTTGGATGGGGCTCTGGGCAGCCTGGTCTAGTATTAAATGGGGAGGTTGGTGGCCCTGCCTGTGGCAGGGGGGTTGGAGATTCATGATCCTTGAGGTCCCTTCCAATCCTGACCATTCTGTGATTCTGTGATTCTATGTTTTCAGTGTTAAACTGTGTTAAGCTGTTCCACAGCTTTTTATTTGCATTTCTAAATTCATAGGGACCCCTTATTTAACTATTCTCACTGCATGGATGTTTAAATGAATACATTATACTCATAGAAGATAATTTGTTTAGTATATTTAATATTTGAATGTTAAGTAGTAAATTAAATGAAATTTTAAAAAATCACTTTTCCTAACAGTATTAAACAGAATCAATAACAAATTCTTTTAGCAGTCAACGAAATACCCCAGGTAAATTTTTGACTAACAG